GAACCAGGGAACAGCCCCTGTGAGGGCGTCCCGACCTTCAAGGCTGAGGGCGCTTGCTGCTGCTAAAAACTGCCCCTGGTGTTTTCCCTGGTTTTCAACACGACCCCCTTCTCCTGGGTTCAATGTAATGAGGTTTCTGGCATAATCTTCGAGCAGGTGCTCCCACCTGACTCTTCAACAATCAAATGACCACTCCTTTTGGGCCACTGTAGCAAATCCATCTGGCTAGCAGATGGGACCTGGTGGCGTCCCTAGAACCACAGGGGATGAGGCCCAGGTGCCTGCTCGACACGACCAACCTCGGCCAAGGCTTCCGCGTAACAGCGGCTGCTCAGTAACTGCTCCTAAGTCAGGACCGTGCACAGTCCCCAGCACCCCCTCATTCAGGAAGAAACTGGGTGCATGTAATTCAAGACCCAAAGCTGCTAGCAGATGACAGGATAACACTTCTATTCTCTCCAGGCACCGTGGACTCCTGCATGCTGCCGTCTGGTGGTGGCTCTTAGGCTTTAAGTGGGGGACTCTTAGCTGGTGTGAAGGGACAGCCACACGGGGAGAGGCCCCAGTGGTCAGAGAACTGAAAAGATGTCTGTGAGGAAGGACTGAAGCGCCTGGGGACTGAGGAGAGCAGGGTAACTATCCTATTACACCCCAAATGGCAGTCAGAGACCCTTCTCCACAAAAGTCAGCAGTTCCTCCCACGCTGGAAACACTGTCACATCGCTACCACGGCAAGTGGCCGCGGCAACACGAGACTGAGGACGCGGTGAGGCTGGGGGAGGCTGTGCGGCCGGGCAGACCCTCCCGAGGACGGGAACCCCGTGTCTGGCAAGAGCAGGCGGGGGCGCGCAGGCAGCCCTGCCGTGGCGAGGGGAGCTCCCGGGAGGGCGGCGCTGGAGCTGGAGCCCGGCGGCTCAGCGAAGCCGGAGCTCCTCAGCCGGTGAGGGTGCAGCGGGCCTGGAAACGGGCGGAGGGCTCCGTCTCCCCGAGAGTCTCACTGCTGCAAAAGGAGGTTGGAAAAACCACGACTGTTCACGGGATAAAAAGCTCTCTTTAAAACAAGAATAAATAAAACGATTTAGTTAAGTGGAAAAGGCTCTTTTCCAAACAGGGTAACAGACAGAGACTTAGGCCAGGGCCTCTGAGTGGAGCCGAGCTCCGGGACAGTCTGCACGTTCGAGGTACGAACAGGGTCGCCCACAGCTGCTTCTGGCGGCGGCGAGGAGCGCCGGGGCTCTCGAAATGCTCTCCCCACGCCGGCCGCCTCTCCCGCACCCACAGCAGAGGCGCCCTGTCCGGGGCAGCGCGCTCCTCGTGGCGGCTGCGACTCAGGCAGGCGGAGGTCGGCTGCCCGGGTGACGGGAGATCGGACGCAGCCTCCGCCTCCCAGCTCCCCACACACGGGCCGGGGAGAACATCTGCTGCGCTGGGAGGTTTTACCGAGGGAGGCGCCTGAGCCCGGCGTGGCTGAGCGGAATGATTCTGTGGGGGGGGGG